GCATGGTAGTCCATCCCTACCCCCCTCCCCGCTACCTTAAGACTCACTTCTGCTTTCGGATCCACCTACGGGCAACCCCCCCACCCTCCCCTACCCCCGTAGGTTGTTTCACTGCGGCCTTACGGACTACTTGCATGCTAGTTACCCTTTTTTGACTACCAAATTATTCGCTAAGTTGGCGCTAATTACCCTGCCACGTGAATAACGATGGTTTTATGCTAACAACTCGACAATGATCTCTGCTGACGTTTATAAGCCTTGTGTCGACACCGGTGTCTTGGCTGTGAGAAGAGACGATTCTTGCTAACTGGAGTTTGACCACTCCTGTGCCTAGAATCAGGAATGGAGATGGGACCAAATGCATCAAGTGTTCCTACATAAGTCTCATCGTCGTTGGTGCAAGGGTCTCAGGCGATGCCCGACCCCAGAACAAGACCCAACCAAACTAGGTCCGGAGCTGTCATTGCTATCGGCAACCGACGGTCATCTACTTTGTTGACATCAGTGCACTGTTCGAGTCCGTTCATAGGGGATTCTTGTGACGAGTAAGAGAAGTAGTTGGTGTGCCTACAGAAATTACAATCATGGCCAGGACCTGGTATCGCTTGGCTACGATTTAGATTATATTGAGAAGTCATCTTGGCAAGCACGTGTTTTCAGCAATTCCTCTTCTGGCCAATACAATTGCAAGGACTAAACTGGCCAGTTATGGGTATTGGCCTGACGAAGAATTGCTGAAAACACGTGCTTGCCAAGATGACTTCTCAGTTGTAAAATGGGAATATTTGCAAGAGTTACGAAAATTTAAATTAGATTCCTTATCTTGTTCAAGTAGACTACTGACTGGATTTTGGAAGAACTAAACCGTTTTGAAGCTGTCGAATTCTCACCCAGACGCCGGTGGAAGGACCTCGACTACGCTAACGATAGTGTCTTGCTTGTGTCAAGCTATGATACCCTACAAAATGCATCACAAGTGTGTAAGGGGAATACCAAAGCGTGCTCGAGTTGCATTTTTGACCAGGCACAGACACATATATGTATCATTGACTGTCAGCTTGCAGAAGTGGACATCCGCAAATGAATAAAGGCGAAGTTGCTGTCCAGCGAATAGAGTAATGCTAAAATATCCGATCCGATGCTGATCGCAGTGTCTTACACCCCAAAATGATACCCCTATCGTCACAAAGGTACGCGTGTTCGGCCAGTCCTTCTGTGCCGTTGTTAATGCTAGGCTGTGTGCGCATCAGGCGAGCGAAAACAGGACATCGTTGACTGCCGTTTCCTGAAAACAGTCCTTCAAATGAAGTACGCCGACATCATCTCGAATACAGCAATCCGAAATGGCTGTACCAACATGGCAAGGATGCTCCAGGCCATCTAATAAAAATGGCTCAGTTTGTCTTTGGACGTTCTTAATCGGCCGCCCAATGATTTTCATGCCGCTGCTATGTGAAAGAAATGAGAAGGGGGTGAACTCAGGAAATCCT